TCTGAAAGCCAAGAATAAGTACCATTAGCTATAAAGATCAGGTCCTGTCCAGCAATTGTTGCCCTCATTTACTCACTCACGCATTTTGGCACAATGGGAAGACTCCACTTGCGATTGGCGCAGTGGCTGCTCTCGGCGCCCTCCAGCACGTAGCCGGGATTGCAAGAGAAGTAGACGGTCGCCCTGATAATAGGTGGCGTCAGATAGGTGCCATGATGATCCTTCAGTATGGGCTGTTCATCACCAAACGGCAGTGGGCAACCCAGCTGATCCGTAGGCTCCACCAACGGCTGTTCTGAGGGCTTTCCGGTTGTATTGCACAACAATGGCGCCTCGTCGGACCCATCAAAGCAGTCGGTCTTGCCATTGCAAGTCAACTGGTTGGAAATGCAGCCGCCACTGGCGCATTTGAACGCATAGCCCGGGCACTCGATGTGTCCGCACATCATAACCGACTCGTCAAAGCCATTGCCGTCTCCACAGTCATCCTTGCCATCGCACAGATACTTGCTCTTATCAATGCATATGCCAGAGAGGCACTTGATTTCGTTGCTCCTAGAAATCGAAACCGATGCTTTTATCTGGCCAATCGAACCACTATTTCAACCACTAAGCACTCACTGACAGTTGCCCTGATGGAGTTTATCGAACGCCCGTATATCGTCATCGGTGCCACATCGCAGCACCGTCTCATCCGATCCATCTGCGCACTCATTTTTCCCATTGCAGGGCGCCGTGCCGATCACACATGCCCCGTAGCTGCACTGGAAGTAGGGCTTGCTGCAATGCTTTCGGTGCGAGACACACGCCTGACCCGTCTCGTCCGACCCATCTGGGCAGTTCTTGACGCCGTCACACGCATCGAACTTCGATATGCAGCTGCCATTATCGCACTCGAATTTGGTGGGGCCGCAGGCCCCATAAACTGCTCCTATTTGGCATAGAGAAAGTTAGCATGAGCGCTTTATATACAAAAGTAAAAAATATAATAAAAACAAAAAGTGTGCTCGAAAATCTTGATAAGCCAAAAAACTCTAAAATCAGTTGCAAGTCAAATTTCTTGCTTTCGATACCCTACACAAATGTTGAACTAAATTATTTAAACCAAGCTAGTAAAAATATTCCTTATTCAATTAAATTGTAGAAACAGCATTCGACAACAAAGGAGATCATCAGCCGCTACGACGAAAAACTGCTGCGAGCCCTGCGACCTAACAACAAGGCGAATTACTCTAAATTAAATCTTTATATCTTCAATTCCCTTTACTATAAAAACCCGTCATTGTCAATAGCACTCAATGTAAATACTACTTATATAAGCTACAAAACACTGTGGCTATACCCTTCTTTCACTGTCTTTCGCTTGGTAGAGATCAGAAGGCGCTGATCAATCCCAGCGCATAATAAAACAGATTGAATTGAAAAAAAAGACAGCTCGAAAATGAAAATACTGAATTTGAAAACAATTATCTATTGCAAAATGCATTATTAGACCGATCCACAGGTCAGTGTTTATATATATTCTATGTATATAGTAAACATAGAGGCAAATAATTATATATTTTAATTTAATTTTTTAAGAAATTTTTTTTATCCAATATTCAAAAGAATACATCAAAATAAATATGTCGACCACTGTATATTCATATATATATATATATATGTATACACATATGTTAAATATATACATATATACATATATAGTTACATATTGTATATATATATATATGCGCATGTAAATGGTATATATATAGAGAACAAACATATCTATGTATATTTGTACGTACACTTTTATATTTTTTAACAATAAACTTAATTTGGTTATAGGCCAATAAGTTTGTCAAATCGGTCGCGTACTGTTTACTTTACTCAAGTTAGGTTTGTTCTTATCTACCTGTGAGATGAGCCTCTCATCGATAGCACAGCAAAAGCAAAAACAATAACAGAGAGCAAAAATTGTAAAGCGAACTCTCTCTCTCTCTCCCTCTCTTTGATTCTTTTAATGCTGGCTCAAATCAAGTTTACGGCAACGGCTCTCACGATCACAAATACTAACTCAAATTCATATTAACATTGGCATGCCTGATATGCAACGACTGTGCACATACAGTGTGTGTGTGTGTATGTATGCATGTGTGTTGTGTGCAGTTGTGTTTTCATTGGGCATTTATTTTTAGACTTTGATATTCTTATTACCATTCTATACTCTACTTACTTGCGCCAAAGCCCAAGCAAATCACGCAGATGCTGAACAAATGTGACTTGAAATATTTCAATAGCATATTCACTATTTTAGTTTTAAAAAGATTACAATTATATGCGTGCACTCATCTGTATTCCTTACAGTATTTATTAATCCGACTTTTAATTAAGATGATTGTGCTATCAGGAAGCAATTACGATCGCGCCGATCGACAGCACAAACAGAACTGGCTTGAAAAATATTAAAACAGCGTTTGATATGCATGAAAAAATTTGCAACGCGTCGAACTCTTAATACCCTAAAACATTAATTGCGCTCAAGTTAGCTTTGATATGTACTGAGATGTTTGTATGGTCCATCTTTAAAATATGTCACTCGAAAATAGATGGCTTTAATATATTTAACCAAGTCGTTCTCACATGATTCACATTTCCCGCAAAAATACTGTACGCTTACTCTGCAAGAGTATTAAACTGGAACTGTGAAATGCTGAAACGAGTTTTAAGAGCGCAAACTGAAAGAACATCAGATTTTAGAGAGTGGATTCCTGCTCTTTAAATGCTTAAGGGAATGTTGAATGATTAAAAATAAATAAACAATTTATGGAAATCTTTATTTAGTATATTTAGTTAATAATCAATGAATACGTAAGAAAAATACATCTGCATGGCCAAGTACATGCAAATTAATTAATGGAATACGTTATAAAACCCTTAAAACACTTGCTATTCTAACGGAACATTCTCTTTTCCCTATGAAAACTTATTGCGTTTTAAATTAAAAATATTGCAAATTGATACGAATTTAAATTTATCTGCGAGACTTGGATACAGAATCCTAAATCGTATCTTAAAGTGTGCTCGTTATCGATATGTCCTATTTGTGTGTCCAAGACTAAACGATGAATGCTAGCGATGGGCAGGTACAGGGTGATTAGAGCGAACAATCTGGCGCCCTCTGTCAGTCGATAGCCAAACTAACAGTGCGGGACATTCGTGGCAGTCAGCTTTCTGTCAGCTTGGTCACCACTGCGCATATTAAGACCCAGGTGGCGCTGCCAACGGGCGCCCTCCATGATTCCGCTTTAAAAGTTCGACTTTTGTTTTGAGATTTTAGTTCAAATTTTTATTCGCTTTATTTTTATTTACCACACTCTCACTGGTTTTTTGCCTTTTATTTATAGTACGTATAGTTTATATTGATAATTTACAGCTTACGGCTCTAACATAGAATGGCGTTAAATTAAAAATTACATAGCATACGAGCATAAACGATTTGTCTACCCTACACAAAATGACAGTATTTTGCATGTTTGTTCATTTCTGTACGCATGACGGGTTTTTTTTTTTTTTTTTGGGCTTCGTTTATACATGAGTGTTAAGGAATAGAAAAACATTATTAATGTCAATTAGGTGATGAGGCTGTCAGGGGTAAGATAAATTAAGAAAGCCACAAGAATGTACAATAATCGTAATGTAGCCTTTTATTAATACACGTACGTACACATGCACATATACACACATACATATGTATTACATAAGTAAGTAGTAGGTAAGTTTGTAGAATGCAATAAATTCTAACGCCGACGCGCTCCGTTTCATTTTTACGTATATCCGTTGCTACGACAATTCACATTTAAATCATTAGATATTGTATTTTTAGCTTCTTTTTTTTTAGGGGGAGGGGAGCTCTCTTGGCCACGTACTCCACGCTTCTTTGTTTTGTTGTTTACGTATATGTTTCATTTTGTTTGCATTTAAAATCTATAACATTTAACTTATCTCTTACGTACTTTCGTTTGTTGCAAATATTCTCTTATTGTTGTTCATTTATACTCGATTTTCATGTAAAATACACAAATATAAATATATATATATGTATATATATATTTTGAGATTTATGTATATGTATATATATATATATATATATTTATCTGTTAAACCTTATGCGCTAGTTACGTATACATCATGTGAAGGTTGCTTGGTTAGCCCTTAAGTGAATCGAACTGAAAAGAATATCAACTCGGAGGTCGCATCGAGCACAGCTCGCTGCTTGGCCGAAAGATATCGATAGCTTTCGATAACGATAATGTTATCGGTATGGTTATCATCTCTATCATAGCATTCAACTTACGAACAATTAACGAAACGAGATCAAAAGCAATTTCGCATGCACAACAAACGCGGATCGCAAGTGCGACCCGCTGATTTCCGAAAGAACTCTAAGCTCTTATTTTATATGAAGACAAAACGAAACAACAAAAATCGTAACTAAAATAATAACACAATTAATTCATTCGTTTTTCTTTAATTTTCGTTTGTTTTTTTTTTTTTTTAGATTTTTTCAAAACCAATAATTTATTCGTTTTGCCGAAGCAAAGTTTTTGTTTTTCTGCTTGTTGTTGTCAGATAATCTCATAAACGCTTTTCATTAAACTAAACATAATAAAAATAGGATTTAATTTAGTTTAAAAACTTTAAAAATTATTTAAAGAAAACAGCTTCACGTTTATTTTTGTTGATGTTTGTGTTGTGTGGCGTTGTTGTTGTTGCACGCTTAAAAAGCCTAAGACGAAAACTAAACAAATTAATTTAAAATTAAACAGAGTTAACTAAAATTGCATTAAGTTTAAGCATGAACTATACACATTTTTTTATTATAATAATTCTTTTTTTTTTTGTTTTTTAGTTTTCTATTATTCTCTTTTTGTTTTTGTAATATACTTTTACTTTGCTAACGAATTCTATTTATATTTAAGTTAAATTTTCAATAGTTTTGTTTTTAAGTAATGTTTGTTTTTGTGTTTTCCTTTTTTTTTTGTTTTGTTTTTAATTGGTTTAAAAACGCGCCTTACAAAAATTCATATCAACAGAATTTAAATTTTACCTTTTAACATTTTATATGAGTATTTTTTTTTATATTTTTTATTTGTAACTTTATTCGAACAAAATAATTTAAACATAGCAGTAAGCAACAAAGGGGTTTTTTTGTGTGGATCAGGGCAGGGCAGGGTGCGGGTTGCGGGGCGACACTGGTGGAAAACAACATTTGAACAGAATATTTGAAAAATAAATTTTGCTCGTTTTAAAACAAAAATCTTACGCGGGCAAACAATTTTCAAATAGTTTACGAAGATCATTTCTTGTGGAACTTTATATGAAAATTTGTATTTTGTATTCGTATGCATAAATATACGTATGTATGTATGTATCTAGGTAAGTAGATCTGTGTTCTGTCAACTACTTTTAGAGTTCTTCATTTTCTTAGTGTCTACGAAATTTATTTGTAATTTTTGTTGCTGTTCGCTTTACGTATTTTCGGTTGCTTTTCAAACAATTTGAAATAGTTCTTTTATGGTACCATACAATATCAATATTATTAATTTATATATGCAATTATTAATTTAAGTTAAGTAAAGGGTTTATTTGTTACAATAATTTTCTTTTTGTTTTTTGTTTTTGCTGAATTGATTCTAATTCTGATCTAAATGCCCGCCCTGGACGGCGGCCGCCGCGGCCGCTGCCGCCGCTGCCTTCTGCGCCTGCGCCTGTTTCTCCTGCTCGTTGAGTTCCTTGATCGCCTGGATCTCCTTTTTCAACTTCATTCGTCGATTCTGGAACCAGATCTTGATCTGTCGCTCCGTCAAGCACAGCGCGTGCGCCATCTCGATTCTCCGTCTGCGGGTCAGATAGTGATTCGTGTGGAACTCCTTCTCCAGCTCGAGCGTCTGGTAGCGGGTGTATGTCTGTCGGCCGCGTCTCCTCAGACCATTTGTGCCTGTTTGGCGAGAAGAAAGTTTAAACATTAGTTAAGCTACAGCAAATATAGCCGTAAATGGCATTTAACACAAGATTAAGATGCTGCATAGGTATGTCTGCAAGGCGACTTAAGCTTTCACCTGCAATTGTTCCCAGATGAAGTCTTAATCAAATGTCTTAATACTATTTGCAGCTGGTGACTTTAGCAGGGACTGGGTATGCAAATACATTGACATAGCAGGACAGCGAGTGTGGGTTCAATTGCCTCATTTGGATCGTTTATAAACATTTCAACAAGCATATTAAATTGAAAAATCATTTGCCAAATTTGCTACAGAAATCGTTCGTTTTCTTTTTTTTTTGCGTTTTTGTCTTTGCGAAAACATAAATATAAATTTTTCAGCAACGATCAGCAACATTTTGACGTAGGCAGGCAACAAGAAACCAAAAAACAAATACTACAAAAAAAAAAATACATTTCATTTTATTGCCATTGGCAGTTGCCTGTTGGCTTGTAGCTTGAAGCTGCGGCTGTATCTGTATCTGTTGGCACAGAGATCGTTACTTTAAATTGAACGTTTGCTGCTGTGCCGCCGCGGTTCAGGCTGCTGTCAGTCGTGTTGCATGCTGCACGTTGCACGTTGCACGTACCATATGCTGACTGGCAGCCTTTCAGTGACGTTGTGCCGTGTGCCACTTAAATTGCAGTTATGCCATTGTAATGCTACTTTAATTGGCCAAGTCACAAGAGTCGACAACAGCAGCATGGAATGTGACTGCACTTTAACAATTCTCTCTCTCTCTCTCTCTCTCTCTCTCTCGCTCTCTGTCTGTCTATCTCAGTAGGCTGTGCTATTCTGCCGTGTTAATCTCTGATTTTAAATATTTATGAAGTTTAATTTGCCTCAAGTGCAATAACTCAATTTTATGTGCACACACACACACACACACGCATTCTCGACTGCATTATGCACAATCACAAGAGCACAAGAGCTGGAGAGATTTTATCACACACGCCCCCCTCCATTGCCCCTCCATTGCCCGACTGCACTGTGGCCAGTTGCCAATGGACAATGTTAAGTAACTTTCGCATTTTATTGGGGCGGCTCTCGCAGTTTGAGTCTGGGCCGCCGTCAGCCCTGGCCTGGCCTGGCCTGGCAAAATGTTAAGTTAAATATTATGAGCATTTATTATGTTATAAATTTGGCCTAAAGGTATTAACAAATTTATGCCGGCACGAAAGTCATAAAGTGAAAACGCATTTATCTTTCACATTTACCCGAACAAGTATTCCAGCATTGGAGTCTGTATGTATGTGTGCATGTATGTATGCATGTGCGTGTGTGCATGCGCCCAGACACACGTTAAATAAATGGCGAGAAAATTTTATAGACAATAAAAACGATATGAAAATAAATTTCCACCATGCAACAAAGAAATTATCTGCTTATACGTTCAGACGAATGCATATACCATGATAGGTAAATTTATACAATATAATTTTGTTATTTATTTATGAAAACATTCGCATATAACATTTATTTAATTACAAACAGCGCGAAATTCTTACAAAATATACAACTTTTGTGCATTTCATATATTTTATATATCGAAAAATCGGAAAGGCTTTCAGATTGAGGTTTTGGTATCGAAAGACGTAATAATATAAGTTCATTAATTTGTAAAAAAAAACTGCATATTTTCGAAGAATATGGCACTACTATGTATAGAGCAGAGCGATTGCATTATTAATGTATTTATTTATTTTTATAGATTTGTTAAAATAGATTTGTGGTTGTAAATATTTTGTATTATATTTATGCTTATAATATAAATTATGTTATATACTTAAAAAGAATTCAAAATTGAAATTCTAAATTTGATTCTAATTTATTCAAATTATTTTATTATTTTCATTTAAAAAACGAAATATTTTTGTTTTATTTGTTTTACTTGTATTTTTTTTTTTTTTGTGTAAGAAATTTAGCATGTAAACATTATTCAAAATATTTTTTTTTTTTTCAAATAATTTGTCAAATTCTTGTGTTTCATGCGTAAAATACGTGATATTTATTATTAACTGAAGAAATAGTATTTTTCCAATATTTCTGATAAGCTTATTGAATTGATTAGCCCAATAAAGGAATCGTGCTATTTATTACTAGTCCAAACAGTTTCTTGTTTAAGTTTTCATTGGGCTTCTTCTTCTTAATGCCAGAGTTTTGCAATTCCAATTTATTCGTTCGGCCCCCGAGCTCCACCCTTCCTTTTCTTAAAATGCAAATAATACAAATAAAATGGCAACCCGTAAATGCATAAATAAATTTATTTAGCACTAAACCTGTTTGCTGATTAACTTAAGTCTCAGCGCTTGACTCGGGTATTGCCGCACTCCGCCCCCTCCCTAGTGAACAGCCTCTTTCACACTTACTCGCGCTGGCTCACTCGCACGCACGGAGGCTGCGCTTAGTCCTAGCGCATGTCCTGTGCCAGTGGAATACATCACGTTGAGGTTTGCAAAAGTTTCATTTTATTTAGGAGGCAACTGGCAAGAAGGCGTCTCCCGACTCGGTTCCCGCTAGTACGTGAGTTGAGCTCAACAATTTTAAATGGAATTTGTCACGCGCCTGCCGCAGCATAGTCCCCCTTACCCTGCCCGCTATACACAGATACATATATATATATATATATACATATATATATGCAAAAATAAACTTTTTACCAAAGTTTGCGTCCACTTTTTTTATACTTTGGCTTATTTTTTTGCGGGGCTCACTTTTTTTCTCCAGTGTTGGCCAAGTTTTAAATTTATTATGCGAAAAAGTGCGAAATTCATTTTGCTGCCATGCTCTTCTTTTTCTTCTTCTGCTGCTGCTGCTGCCACATCTCCTGCTGCGTCGCGCCATTTTCTTTTGTAGACTTTCGGAGCATTTTTGTGTATTTCTAAGTACATAATTTAAATGCTGGTATTTGCAGCAGCAGGGGGAGGGGAGCGGAAGGGCTTTAACTAGACAATAAAACTTGCTATGGCAAGGCGCGAAATTTTTTTAGATTATTTAGACGAGTGCGAGCATTAAATAGGATGGGCAAATTGGAAGGCAGGAAGGAGGGGTGTAGGGCGGAGGTATACTGGAATCTTTTGAGCACACTCGTATATCTCTTTTTGCCCCCGCCCAACCTTTGAGATACATTTTCAAGGTTCTGTCTACGCTGCTGATGGCTGATATTCGTTTTTATTTGGGCGTAGAAAGCGGGAGCGGGAGCGGAAGGGGAAGGGACCTACTTGCTGTGTAGCAGCTGCGCCCGGGTGCCTAGTACGTGTTGTATTTTTTAACTTAAATTCCTGCGGGATTTAAAGTTTTGACAGCTTACGTGTTTGCCTTTACAGCGAACTTTGAACCAAGCCCCCCCTTTTCAAAAAAAAAAAAAAAAGAAAAACAAAAACAAACCCGCGTCTTTGGCCAACTGCCACAAACAGTGGCTGCATCACACTCACTCTCCCGCTCTGCCTCTCTCTTTCTCTCTGTCTCTGTCTCTGTCTCTGTCTCTGTCTCATACTGACTCACCCCTGGCCAGGGCGTTGCCAATAAATCTCCAGGTGACGGTGACTCCATGTTGCATGCGGCGCATCGTGTGATCTATGCTTCTATTATAACTATTTATATACACAGATACACAGCTACAGATACAGATACAAATACATGTGGAGAAACGGGCACAGATACACGCACCAGCAGTGCGCATGTGTGTGCTATACACAGTTATATACTTGTGGCTGGCAGGCAACAGAAACTACTTATATTTAATTCGATTTCGGCCCAACTTGCCAGTTCCAGTTCCAATGGCTTCCCTAAACGCTACCTCAGATACCTCCCTATCTCGCTCCCACACTCCTTCAAGCGTGCTCTAATTTATGTTTTGTTTTGTCGTCGCTGTTGCCTTTGCTGGCACATAAAATTGTCACGCACGCGCCCGCCACTGGGCCAGAAGTGAGAAGAATCCATCGCGGAACACGTCCCAATGCACATGACCAAAGTCTAAGAGCACTTTGATAATAAGGCAACAATTTTGTTTGTAATTCGCTGGAATTACAATCGCTTAGCTGGAAAAGGGGTGACGGCGCAGACAAAGTAATTCGGGAATATACGATTGTGATCTGAGATATTTTTAAAAACTGTCGAAAACAGTCGTTGAAAATATTTAGCTCTCAGATTTTTATAATTAGATCTTATGCAGACCCTAGACGCAACTTTAAAGGGTATTTGTTTTTGATTCTTAGGAAAATATAAATAAATATATGATCTGCAGTTAGTTGGCAGTTCATTTGAAAAGCATCATAATATATTATTGTATTTTTTTTAGGAAAATTATATGTATCATGGTTTAAGCGTGTATTTGTCAATATATGATTTCTTAATTCAACAAACTTTTAAAATTATTTTGATAGCATTGATTCGTCGAATCATTTAATCCACATCAAATATAAATTAATAAACAATTTCAATAGAATTCGCATAAATCTCAAAGCTCTTTATTTCAGTTCAACAGGCTCAGGCTGATATATGCTGAGTCGCAAAAGCTTTTCGGAAGTCGCTCAACCGGAAATTGTTTGACAGGAACCCTTTTCTGCCAAGGTCTCTCTCGCACACATACGCACACACACACATGCATGGACAATCCATACAAAATCGATTAATTGAGTGTATGATGGCTTTCCTACCAGACCACCCTCCCGCCCGCTTCCTTTGTCGCCTTTGTCTTACCCCGATTACTACGACGCACGCATTTTGTTCGCAATTTAATTAAATCTATTTTCGTGCGTGTTGCTCGTAGGCGTGTTTCCACCTTATGACGTCCGGGGGGCAAGGCAACCTACACGCTTTTACATGCATATATATATGTATATATATATGTATTTATATATGTATGCTGAATTTCGGCTACTCGAGAGTGTCGATAAAACAATTAAATGCGCCAGAGAGACGCACAAAAGCCGCAGAAAATCAAACCGAAGGTTGA